GCGCGCACGTGGTTGCATCTCATTTTAGTTTTGAGAGTCTTAGTTTTCATAACAGGGGAGAAATATTTATCCGAAAACAATGATCAAAAGGACTCTTGTGCGGAAATATTTTTTCAAAACCCGCAATATTCACCTTGCTCAATATCTTCAATATCCTATCTTCCTCAAAATACAATTCTGAAATCTATTTGAGGTACACATAGGGATAAGCAAGATCGAATTTGGGGAATATTGTCAGTTTGCAAAGAACAAATTGATAATAGCATTTCTTATTAATTTTGGTGAATTAAAATAATATTGAGCGCGAAAACTGAAATATCCCCAAAATGTCATTTGTAAACTGGAACTGTGGGCGTGATCACGTGCTGTAAGGCGATTGCGAGAGCTGGTACAATAAGTCACCGGTAAAGTTTCCACTGTTCCCTATCGTAGCACAGACAGACATTGTAACGCTATAACCGAAATCAACTGAATCTTATTCAAGAAAGCGCATATGCTCACAGTTTCACAAAAATTAAAGTTATTGGTACATTCAACTTTGTAGCCTGCAGCCTCGGGTTTCGCGGTACTTGTCATAAACGGAACAAATGGCACTCACTAACATTTATGATTATTCACTCCTGTTATGCCAAAAGTATGTATTTATGATTTGGCTACTAGTGAAGAAAGTACTGCTAAGTATGAAATTTTGGCCCTAATTATCTCCTAATATATCCTGACCACAGCGCGGGAAAATGTGCGGGCTACGTAACTTCCGTTACCTTATTAGTCGCCATGAATATGTAGATGAGCTAGTTCAGCTCGAGAGAGAAAGTTTATTTGGGAAACTGCCGGTCATATCGCTGTCCATTGACAGATGGGGGTAAGGCAATAATAAAAAAATAAAAGATACCAGAAGTAAGTATCAATGCGATAATGACCCCTAACTTGCAGCAGACGGAACATTCCGAGGAAATTGAAATTGTTTACGGAGCGAGCACTTCCTGGTTACTGATTGTCATAACAGACACCCGCTAAAAGGCGTGTCCCGCGTGAGCGACCGGAAATCACAAATGCCGCGATACGATGAATGCCGCGGTACCACGAGGTCAGAGTATACACGGAATATGCCAGAAATAACATGAAAAATGGCGATAATTGGTCACTAGCTTCGACGTGTACACTTTCAAGTGTATCCAGTCCAGAATGACATGTTGACATGTTTTAACTGTTCGAAAATAGGGTATGTGAAAATAGGAAGGCGGATGCCCCGATGCACACGCGACCCGCCAGTCACGACCTTGGGTGGATTGTTGTGGTCCCTCTCGGCAGTGGGTGATTTTACATAGCGCTTTAATTACTTTCGCGGAGGTCGCGGGTGACAGCACAGCCACGGTGATTGAATTAATTAGTATCAAGCGCTTCACTGAGTACTGCGGACCGCACCGTCTCGCGTACAAGAGACGGCTGAGCCGTCACGCGTACACGTTACGTCTGTGACTGTTCATAAGTGTCAAGATTTCAAGCTGCCAACAATTTGGGCAAGTCATTTGCCTACTTGAATTCCTATCTAATATCAAGATCAACTATTTGCAATTACTGCTCCATAAATACTCTATTTCATCAGTTTCTCACATTACTTTTGACTGTGTAATAGCTTGTTGTTCGATATTTGAACACATAATGATCAATTAGCACCATGTATTATTATGTAATTAACATTACATAATTATTGTTACCATTATAGTCATTTGGAAATAACTATCATGAAGTATGCAAACACCCAATTATTGCTGACATATTCATTTTTGAATGTTTCGCATATTTTACACAGGGAGTGGTTAGTGTTTGTTAGGCAGTATGGCACTAGTCGGTTTACATAAATTGATGTCAGGTGTGTCAGGAACATGGCCAGAGGATGTGATACGACATCATATCAATCAGAGAGTCTATTGGGAGATGTTGCATCACTGAGTGTTGACATACCTTGTGTTATACACAACCAGGCACTGACTAAGCCTGTTATACCATGGCAGGGGGGGTACTGTTATTCCTGTTATACCATAGCAGGCTGGTTACCTCGGGGATGGACCATCACCACCTGTCACTGGCCAGATGGGAGATATCTGGCCTGTATAGGGCTTATCACATCTACCAGCCTTCATATCAAGATAAGATGGACTCTGTCCATTTCTGGCAACATTAATCTGACATTCTGACAGAAGTCCACAATTCATGAACGATTTCATAAATGATTTGTGACCACCAGATACCAGATACGCACATAAATTTCTGATTACCAAAACTGACATATGAAAATCTTGGACTTTTCCCAAATGTTTTGTTCAAGAACAAGGGTAGTAATTTTCACCGATTCACAGATGCATTGTGACTGTCAATTCATGACCAGACTATTATTTCAACGACAAACAGCAGGTATACCGCTCAATTAACAAAAAAAAAAAGGGTAAACAATAAACAAACAAAAAAACAGAAAGACAAATGTATGCAGTAATATCAACAAATAGTAATTCCTGAGAAGTTTCATATACATGTGAATGAGTGAGGGTGCATGATAGAAAAAGAAGGCAGAAGAGGGAAATGAGAAGGGAAAGAGAAAAGAGGCATGATAAGACCAAGGTGATAACATCAATCCCACCCCAGCCCATTTTGATCTCTCGTGGGGATTGTGGGTTAAAATTGCACCTATGCTTGTCCAAAGAGGCGAGTGAATGGATTGGGTGGTCTGACTCAGTTGATGGCAATGGAATCAAATCCCAATAGAGTTGGAGGTTGCTCATAAACTAAACATGCCTGGTCAAGAATGGTCTAATATTTATTGGCTGCCACCAATCAGTGAATGAATGAGTATGGTACTGCATCGCTTTTAACAATATGTCAGCAATATCACAGGAAGGGGGACCCCAGAAATGGGCTTCAAAGATTGTACCAATGCCGGAATCAAACCCGTGACTTTGGTGTGACAAGCGAACACTTAAACCAATAGGCGACCCAATCCAGACAGCTGAGATACTGAGATATGCCCCCAGACAAACAAAAACTAGCTAAGCATTTATCTGTATCCCTGTGTCATAACTTAAAAATTGTTTCACCGATCATGATGTGTTCAGTAAGTTTGTGAATGTAGTTTTATGCATGATTTCTCAGTTGTAGCAGAGAAAAGATGTTGAGATATGTATCACGCAGTGACATTCTGTATCATTGCGGCCCAATCTGTCATGAATACCATATGTACCAGATCATGCCCAACAGTATATTCAGATGGGACATGCTTTGGTACATCTCAAACGAAGGATAAGAATGCCTTTGAAAGAGGCTCCAAGCCCTGTCTTTGACTGGTGTAGCTCACTGGAGATGAGAAAATGAGGGTTCAATCACACTTCCAACAATGTTTGCTGATAAGGGCCAAGAAAATCACTTTCTGTGTTTGCATCTGTCATACCACTCAACACCCTGCGAAAGCTGGAGGACAGGAATTGAATTCTTTTGTTGGACTTGCTGTCAAGGTTACATAAAGGTTGATGCATTTGCTTGCTCAAAATAATATTAGCTGTTTTTGGAAACATTTATCAAAATCCACCATTTTCCTGAAGCCCCTGTTCAGATGATGGGCAATTTGGGAAGACTTAATTCAGAGGTTTGTCACCAGATAATGCTTTCACACAGATGGTCCCACTGTGAAATATTGAACAGAATTTATTTGACAGTTTCATAAATACCACCTGAATTGGCTTCACGGATTCTTGTTAGATGTTTTCAAAACTAGGATGGACTGGGGATCTCTTAAGGGCATCTCCCACGTCCAATCTGGACGTTTACAGCACTGCATAAACTGAGGCTTCTTCAGGTTCCACAGTTGCAACTCATGAGTGATGATATGACCCTAGAGCAGCAGCCCACACATACAGCCACACACGTACCAGAGACACAGGGTGTCTTATGGACCAAGCAGCCCATATATACATGACACTGCCACTCCTGTACCAGAGACACAGGGTGTCTTATGGACCAAGCAGCCCATATAAACATGACCCAGCCGCTCCTAGACCAGAGACACAGGGGGTCTTATGGACCAAGCAGCCCATATATACATGACACTGCCACTCCTGTACCAGAGACACAGGGGGTCTTATGGACCAAGCAGCCCATATATACATGACACTGCCACTCCTGTAACAGAGACACAGGGTGTCTTATGGACCAAGCAGCCCATATATACATGACACTGCCACTCCTGGACCAGAGACACAGGGTGTCTTATGGACCAAGCAGCCCATATATACATGACCCAGCTACACCTGTACCAGAGACACAGGGGGTCTTATGGACCAAGCAGCCCATATATACATGACCCAGCTACACCTGTACCAGAGACACAGGGTGTCTTATGGACCAAGCAGCCCATGTATACATGACACTGCCACTCCTGGACCAGAGACACAGGGTGTCTTATGGACCAAGCAGCCCATATATACATGACCCAGCTACACCTGTACCAGAGACACAGGGTGTCTTATGGACCAGTGAGTGAAAGCCATGCACATTTTAGCAGAGGTAGTTCATCTGGATATTGCGAGAGAGTTGTGCGTAACACTGCTGTGAACATTATATCAGTCATAGAACATCATGTCAACTTCATCTGGTAGGAAAATCCCAATGTGATGCAGGTCTTGCACCAGTCAATACAAACCTCTCTATACCCCATGCCGCCCCTGTATACCCAGTGACACCCCTATGGAGCCTGTGACACCCCAGTGACACCCCTATGGAGCCTGTGACACCCCAGTGACACCCCTATAGACCCTGTGCACTACAGACCCTGTGACACCCTCTGACACCCCAGTGACCTCCCTTTATACCCTGTTTGCTACAGACCCTGTGGCCTCCCTATATACCCTGTGCACTACAGACCCTGTGACACCCTGTGACACCCCAGTGACCTCCCTATAGACCCTGTGCACTACAGACCCTGTGACACCCTGTGACACGCAGTGACTTACCATCAAACTTGCGTGTGCGTGACGAGAAGGTGAGCCTGATGATCTTGTAGGCCTCCTCCAGCTGCCTGGTGTGGTCCTTCTTGCTGAGACTCTGGAGCTTCTCCTCCATCTCCTTCGTACAACATGTCTGCTGCTTCGGGCAGATCTCCAGGGAGGCTCCTGCAACACCACAGCACCATCAGTATCACAGAACCATACATCGCCTTCCACAGAATCAAATATACATCACACAGACAACTGTTCACTAAAACGGTAACAAAAAAACATACCATTTCTTTTTTTACCATGCATTGTTACCTTGTAAAATGGCATGCATTATTTGCTAAAATCGAAATCATATTCTAGATCTTGAAATATTGCTTCAGAACTGTGTTCTCACTTGTGCTCTAAGTGAGGGAGTGAATGTATGTTGTTAAATGCAACAGTCAGCAATACTTTGAAATTATCTCAGTCTGACAGAGTAGACACAATTTATGGATAACAACTTCTTTAATACTGTAAGGGTGACGTTTCGGTATAGATCCTTATACCGTTGTCAAGCAAGGATCTATACCGAAACTTCCCTTACAGTATTAAAGAAGTTGTAATCGCTAAATTGTGTCTACTTTGTCATCTGTCAACTTCAAAGCAATGCCTATCAAACAATTCAATCTCAGTGTGAGCCAGGTGAACTAGTGACTGAAAGCATAAGCAAGGATCCATGCTATTGGATGTGTGTTTGTTTGTTGTTGAATGCCACATTCAGCAATATTCCATATGATGGCAGCCTGTAAATACCCGTGGCCGGATCAGACAATCCTGTGATTGATATTATGAGCAACGATCACAAAGTGTGGGTGCATTGATACACCATCAAGGAAGTCATGGAGACTGACAACAATATACATTAAGTCGCCTCTTACAACAAGCACAGGCTGCTGGGGACCCGGGCTATAGCATGAGCAAAGGCCCACCTCCCTATGTGGTTTAGAGGACAGAGCAACTAGATGGAGGAAGGTTGTGGTTCAGTCTAGCCTAAAACCCTGTTTTATATCAACTAAAACATATAATCAACACTCTGCAATACATATAGGCATTGAGGCATTGTCCCCCCCCCCCCCCCCCCAACTAGAGCAATCGTTAGTGAAAATTCCCAAAATAGAATTTAATGAATCACAGTTCAGGTTTTCATATTGAATCATTGGCAACAGGTCCGATGAAGAGAAAGGCCATAAATAATTATTTTTACATTATCTTATACAATACTAAATTTTATCAAAATCCCTCCAGATTCTCAATAAATAAGACTAAGCCACACACCAATTTTTGCCGTCCGTTTTCTTCCTAATTAACCTGGGGACACATAGTTTGAAATCCTAGTTAAATCACTGTGGCTAAAAGTAGTACAAATACCTATCACACATTTACGCATTTGTTCCATCAATACACTAGCAAACTAGAAGCATTAATAATTGCTGATGCAGTGGAGAGCAATATTTACTTGCTCCTTCACTCTGTACACAGGACCCGGGTATTTATCTAGACCTGCTCAGAGGCTGATACTTGGCCCCAAGTTTGAAGCCATTGTCACTGAAAATTCCCAAATTGGAATAAAATATTGCCCAGTTATGTTACTTCAGAAATAAATAACATAAAATTTTAAAAAATAATAATGCTATGGCTTATGCAAGTGACTTGTATTTAAATTATAACAATAGACAAGACCAGACTTTAATTTTCAGTTTAGCAGTTTTGTACTGAATGGAATATGAAAACACATCACAATTTAAGAAAATAAAAACTTTAAAGAAAGTCCCAGTTTTGAACAAAATATAATTTTTTACATTTTGTCTGCCATAGGCACTTTCTTTGGAAAGCTAGATGAATCCCTGAGACCACCAACTACAACGCTGAAAATGTCTCTGACAGTGAAACATTTTATTCCGACTTATATCGCTCCACCTGTAATCAACTATGTAAAGTGTCGTCTTCTCGTATCACCTCCGAAACTCAATACGTCACGGCCCAACTCAAAGGGACTATCTCCCCTTATCTGTCTTCAGCCATGCAGACAAATTCTCTATGAACATCAATAAAACAGCCATAAAGCCCAACTAGGAATGAATGACCCCCTTAACATTCACTGCATCTGTCCCACCCTACCATACCCAAGCCAAAATTTATTTTCTGAAAATGCACTGGGGGAGAGATTAGAGTGTATTCTTCAAGCAAACCGACCATGACTGCCTGCCTGCCGGCACAAAGGCTCCCCCTGGTGACAAAAAACATTCTCGGTCGTTCAGAGCCTCACTCAATAACTAAGCAATTAAAATATTAATAGAGTCAGTATAGGTGAGATTTTCTTTAACCACACGGCACATTTTATGGAATCGTCTATCATCTAGAGACGCAAAAGGCAATCATAAGCCACGGGAGTCTGGGCAGGGATTGCATCACTAAGGAGAGAAGTACATGTTGAGAGTCCGATTAAAATGTTGACTATGAAAATTAATATGAAACTAACGACGCTCCATAAGAAAACATGATACGGAAAAGGAAATCAGAGTGTGTTGAAATATTTGATAATCTGATTTTGTTACACAGCTGTAAATTCAGATCAATACTTTAGCCAGACACATCAGCAATGCTGACAGCTGATCTTCCCAACATGTAATCCATTCCGAGCAATGAAACCTCCCCCATGATTTGTGTGGTAGGAGAAATGGTTTCGGGAGCATTCTCTGAACACCAGATTATCAAATCGGGCCAAACAGCTGAACTGAATGGAGAGCAGAGTAGCTCACGACTAACTTATCGGTATTTTTTGGTCTGTTGTAACGCACAACTGTTTCAAGATCATTTGAACAGAGATCTGAATTCCCCTCGGAATATATAACAGTACCCAACACATATGACGGATCGGAAAAAGATAGACTGTGATATAGACATTAACATGAGAGCCATAGCAGTGTAGATACAAACACAAACTATCTTCACAAACACCCATTCTCATTGCAAGACGGTCTAGGACAATTAACTGACCACTAAAATATCAAGTCCATCTAAATGTCCATCACTAAACAATGCCCATTTGGTATCGCATTCTCAGACTCATAAAGCAGCCGTAACAAATTTCTCATCTCAAATTTTGCCTATGCAGACAAAGGCTTTAATTAAGATTGATACTATCTGTCGAAGTGATTGACAGCATGGAATGTCCAACAATTTAGCAGATCATATCAAATCACTACTCATGTGTTAGGGACTTGTCCCCTATCATAGCCTTGGTGCATGGCCAATGGGCAATATCTCTACCATGCAGATCAAAACTTGAACAAATTCCTACTGGTCATCTGTCGCTGTACGTGTATCCCATCAGGCCTTGGGGCAGCCTGTCACATGTTGGTCATCATGAGATTAACAAAGGGGCAGGTGAATATGATGAATAATGCCCCTCCCTGGTCCTCTCATACATCAGGACTGTATCTCATTTATATCCTGCTGTGATTCATTGTTAAAAGTATTAGCATATATGGCCATGCTATACGGTATAATATCTACCTTTAGAGCCGGCTTGACCAGGTCACAGGAAGTATGGCCTGGCTGAATATGTTCCCAATTTATCACCACTTAGCAGGGCCTTCAGTAATCTCTCAATAAATAGGGTACCAGTGTGTGAAAACAAGTCCCAACACACTGCTATTACCACCATATCCCATATCAAGTTTCACGTAAGTCATATTAACATTACAGCAATATTTTTTTACTCTTATTTCTTGTTTTCAATACATAAAACTTCACATAAATTCTTCAAAAATTACAGCAGTATTTTTCAACTATTGCTATTACATATCCTGAAGGTTTTATTTGAGTCAATTCTCTGGCAATGATACTAAATCCAAGCCATGTCACTGCAAAAAGTGTTTCTGAAAATATTTTTGATGTTCCTCCAAAGATCTGCCTTATATCAATTGTTGCTACATAATTAATATAAATGCTGTTATTTATCCCATATTTACTACTGTGTGGAATTATATAAGTCCTACTATTGTTGAGTATGTTATATAATATTTATAGTATAGATTGTGTACACTGCCCCGTTGAGGATGTACTGTGCAATAAAAATATTTACAATATCTTGTATTTTGTATCTAATGTATCTTTATCATGTTAATCTTATTCAAAATTAAAGCAATATATTTTCACACTGCAATGTATATGCAAAATTTTCTTTGATGTTTTTCTTTTATGTTTAATGTGTTACATAACAATCTTGACCAATCAGTACTATCCTTATTTCCTTCAGCCAATCATCTTTCAGCTCTCTTATAGCTGCCACCTTGATAATGACATAACAAGGTGGGGAGAAAGCTATGCATGTTATAGTCGTTGAAAGCAATTTAATTTTCATTTTATGACCTTGTTAACATAGATGAAATAATAAAAGTAATAAATGTAATAAGATGTCAAGTTATCCTGAAATGTACACCATGTTGATTTACAACCTCATACACTTATCCTATGACATTTTGATTCACAAAAAGAACTGTTTTTGCATGAATATAGTTATGAATAAAATTTCTAAATATGTTAGTAGCTTCTGTGAGCCTGTTAAATGTTTGCTTTGTCATATTAAACTTGAACATTACCATAACTACTTTCTTACATTTAATATTTAATAAACAAAATAAGCCATAAATCTAACATAAATCTATTATCGTTTCACACGTTTCAGTCATGGCAGACAGAAAATCACCATATATATTGGGGGAGGAAACATACAGTCCTTCAAGGTATTCACAATTTAAATACAACTGGTAATGTCCATCTTCATAAGAAATGCCATTTCCAAAATCATAATTTTGAGTGAGTGAGTAGGACTTAATGCTGCTTTGAACAGTATTCCAGGCATATAACAGTATGTCAGCTTGAAATGGGAGCAAAGCCTGAAGTGATGCATGTCCACTTTGGTGAAACCCACGAGCACGGGTATGGTGCTGAGAAACCTAGAAACAAAATCAGGGCAATCCAGACGTTCAGAATGACCAGTGAATTTCTGGCTCAGAATCAACTGCAACAACAATAGTGCCGGTATACAAAATGATCATGCCTCTGTGGTGTGTATACAGTGGAATATAAATAGGCCTATTATTATCATTATAATCATTATTGTTTAAAGC